ATCAAAACTATTTGGAACACATTTTTGAATAAACCGTCGATCGAATAACTTTGACTGAAGAAATTTCGGAATAAAATTTATTCTGTCCAGCGGTTTCTTCGGTCCAAAAAAGGCCTGGCCAAAATGCGCCGTATTTTGTTCAAAAAAATCTGTCCTGGGAGGAAAAAACTGCCCTCTTCCGAAGCAACCTAGATCATTTTCCAACAAATTATCCCTTCGGAAATTACTTCTTTCTTCCTGCTTAATTGAAATCCGTTTAGCTAAATTAGGGAATTTGCTGCCGTGCAACATTGTAATGACAAAAGATTTGGACAGATGGAAAAAAAATCCACAGAGGCTGACGTTCTCAATGGCTACTAGGCGTAATAAGCATAAATGATTTCTAGGGTTTCCCCAAACATGTTGCTGAAAACATTGAAACACTGCTGTGGAACAGATCCTATTTGTACGGTTCCTAGATGCACCTGTTTGGTTACTGTGGGAAATACAGGCGGTCCTCAACTTATGACCACAACTGAGCCCAACATTGGTGTTGCTAAGCAAGACAGTTGTTAAGTGAGTTTTGCCCCATTTTATGACTTTCTTCAGTGAATCACTGAAGCTGTTGACGATGTTGTAAAGTGAATCTGGCTTCCCCATTGAGTTTGCTTGTCAGAAGGTGGCAAAATGATCCCGGGACACACATGATCCCGGGACACACATGATCCCAGCAACCGTTATAAATACATAATCAAGGAGAGAAGCAACCTAGAACTAAGGAGAAACTTCCTGACAGTTGGAACAATTAACCAGTGGAACAACCTCCCTCCAGAAGCTGTGAATGCTCCAATACTGGAGGTTTTTAAGAAGAGATTGGACAGCCATTTGTCTGAAATGGTGTAGGGTTTCCTGCCTGAGCAGGGGGTTGGACTAGATGACCTCCAAGATCCCTTTCAACTTTATTATCATCATCATTATTATTATTATTATTATTATTATTATTATTATTATTATTATTATTATTATTATGCATAGCAGTTGCCAAGTGTCCAAATTTTGACCACGTGAGCGTGGGGAGACTGCAACAGTCATGAGAAAAACAGTCATAAGCCACCTTTTTCAGTGACTGTAAGGGACCTTGGAGGTCTTCTAGTCCAACCCCCTACTCAGGCAGTAAACCTTATCCCATTTCAGACAAATGGCTGTCCAGTCTCTTCTTAAAAACTTCCAGTGTTGGAGCATTCACCGCTTCTGGAGGCAGGTTGTTCCACTGATTAATTGTTCTCACCCTCAGGAAATTTCTCCTTAGTTCTAGGTTGCTTCTCTCCTTGATTAGTTTCCATCCGTTGCTTCTTGTCCTGACTACCTGTAAAATGAAGGTTAATGTTGGTCTGTTATAGCAGAATTCTTCTGGGTTTCTTACATGGGCCCAATTATCTACCTTCTATGCCCGCTTCCTTCGTTTCTCACAGATCCGGCATGAGAACACCGGTCAAGAGATTGAGGTGGGTGGGAGTGCCACCAAGAAGCTCATCACCAATCTGAAGCCCAAAACATCTTATCGGTTCTCCCTCGTGGGCCAGAGAAGCGAGAAAGGAGATCTTCAGCAGAAGGTGGAGGTGTCGACCGCAGCCAATATGCTGAGCAGAAAACCAGAGGTGTCTTATCGACATGAAATAGATGGCAACGTGATGGTGAATCTGCCAGATGTCAGGAGTTCAGACTCCCCAGTTCAGTATGTATACATGGGGCGACCCTATTGAATCTATCTGCACGGTTTATATCTCTCCCTTTCGGCATTTGCATTTGGCCTTTGCATATGAAGCTGGTCAAGGTTCAGAAGCCATCAAAGCATATGAAACACGAACCATTCAAATTATAGAACAGAAAGAATAGAATAGAATAGAATAGAATAGAATAGAATAGAATAGAATAGAATAGAATAGAATAGAATAGAATATGGAATAAATAAAATAGAATACAATAGAATAGAATACGATAGAATACAATAGAATATGGAATAAATGGAATGGTATGGCATGGAATGGAATGGAATAGAATAAGCAATAGAATAGAATAGAATATGGAATAAATAAAATAGAATACAATAGAATAGAATACGATAGAGTACAATAGAATATTGAATAAATATAATGGAATGGAACAGAATGGAATGGAATAGAATAGAATAAGGAATAGAATGGAATGGAATAGAATAAGGAATGGAATGGAATAGAATAAGGAATGGAATGGAATAGAATAAGGAATAGAATAGAATAGAATACGATAGAGTACAATAGAATATGGAATAAATGTAATGGAACGGAACGGAATGGAATGGAATAGAATAGAATAAGGAATAGAATGGAATGGAATAGAATAAGGAATGGAATGGAATGGAATAGAATAAGGAATGGAATGGAATGGAATAGAATAAGGAATAGAATGGAATGAAATAAAATAAGGAATGGAATGGAATAGAATAGAATAGAATAGAATAGAATAGAATAGAATAGAATAGAATAGAATAGAATTTTGTAAGCTAGATCCCACAGTCATTTTTCTTGGAGACAATTATTTTTCGCCATTGGTGAGACAGCCCAATAAATGATTCCTATTTTGAGTTCTCACCCCAGTTAATCACATTGCCCATCTAGATGAGCTCTTCTCATTTGTTTTCTCTTTCTTTTAATCTATTCTCCGGCCTCTTTTTCTTCCTTCCTTTCCTTATTAGAGCCTATTACATTGTGGTGGTACCCTTGAAGAAAAGCAAAAGTGGACAGTTCCATAATTCATACAACAGTCCGGAAGAAATGGATTTAGAAGAGGTAAGCGGGGATTTGCCATGAAAAAAGTCTTTAAGAGATTTCATCTTGTTTCGTTTTTCGAACTTCTAATGTCCTTGGTAGATCCTGGGAATGCTGTAGATGTTATATATCTTCGTTGGAGACAAGCATTTGACAATATACCCTACAGAGAGTCTTCTAATTCAGAGGCCTCCAACCTTTTGCGCAACAGGGACCGGTTTTGTGGAGAGAGGTTTTTCCACGGACCAGAGGGGGATGTAGTTTTGCGTGTTGCCTGCATCCTGCGGATGGGGGTGCACTTGTTTGCAGGCCCTGGTTTCTGGCATGCCGCGAACTGATGCCGGTCCGGGGATTGGGGACCCCTGTTCTAATTAACAAACTAATCCATGGTGAGCTAGGTGGCATTACTGTGATTGGAAATGTAACGGATCCAATAGTAATCATCTAAGTCAGGGGTCTCCAACCTTGATAACTTTAAGACTCGTGGACTTCAACTCCCAGAATTCCTCAGCCAGCTCGGCTGGCTGAGGAATTCTGGGAGTTGGAGTCCACAAGTCTTAATGTTGTCAAGATTGGGGACCTCTGATCTAAGCTACATTTGCAAATGTAAGATGACAAAAGTGGTCATTCAAAATTAAACCAACCATTGCAGCTGTTAAGTGAATCCGGTTTTCCTCGTTGACTTTGCTTGTCAGCAGCTGGCTGGAAAGGTCACCAATGATGATCACATGACCCCGGGACACTGCAACCATTATCAATACAGGCTGGTTGCCAAGCGCCCAAATTTTGATCCTGTGACCTTGGAAATGCCGTGGTGGTTGTTAAATGCGAGGTTCGATATGTAAGTCATTTTTTTCAGTGCTGTTGTAAGTTGGAGTGGTTTGTCAGAGCATGCACAGTCTTATTGCGCGAGATAACCCAGGAGTAAACACAGTAAACAGCAGTCTATAGTAAACAGTGGTTTATCTTACACTATTTACACTATCAGGAACAATATACATACACGTGCTAATACAGCAGGATCCTGAGTCTGAGGAATCAAAGGAGGAGGAGGAGGAGGGGCCTGGAGTGACATCAGAGTCGGAGGAAGGCTGTGAGGAGCTCCAAGACTTACAGTCGGACGAGGAACCTGGCCCCTCTACTCACGCTCAGGCTGAGACACAGCTGTGCTGGGAGCCTGAGTTGGACAGTGATGAATCACAGCTGGGAGATATCCAGGATGCAAGAAAAGAGAATAGGACAGAGGAATGCAATGGGGCAGCTCCAAAGGCAAAGGAGAAGGCATTAGGAAGCCACACCTTGGCTGCATAATAAAAGGGAAGGTGTGGGAGGTGCTGGTTGCCAAAGGCAACTGTTCCTGTTGAGGATTGAGTTTCTGTGAACTGTGTTTGTTTGCCTTGGACATTGACGTGGGTCTGTGAATAATAAAAGGGGGCTGGTTTTTTCCTGCGGTTCCAGCCTGCTTATTGGAAAAGGGGTTTATGAGCTTAACAAGGACTCACATAGGCTGGGACAGAACAGATCCAACAAACTACAGTTACAGCAGGAAACGGAAGAGAGAGAACACATCAGCAGAGTCTTCCTGTTATACAAAGGCTCTTAAAGAGACACAGACCCTGCTGAGTCATTCCCATTCATTACATTACATCTTACGTCTTACAATACATAAGTTGGTTAGCTGTTAAATCAATACCTTGACACTCCTCCTATTTAAAGCTAAACAGCTGTTAATCCAAATGCTTTTACATATTCCTGATGCTCGCCTGCATTCAAAGGCTTAGTCAACATATCGGCTATAATATTGCTGTCAGTGGAACAATACTATAACCTTATCAGTTTATGCTTTAGAGCAGTGATGGTGAACCTTTTAGAGACCGAGTGCCCCAAAACTGGCCCCGCCCTCGCTCCACCCCCTGCCCTGCCCCACCCCGCCTGCCCACACCGCCACTCACCACCTCCAGGGCTCGCCGCAGATCGCCCAGCAGCGCCATGATGGCCACGCCTTCTGCCCACGCCCCGCAGCATCAACTGTGCGCGATGGGGCGTGAGGGCAGAGTCTTGTCTACGCTGTCTGGCTGCCATGTCCTTGGCTGCACTGCTCCACGTGGGCCACGCTCAGGGGCGACTCTCCTCCAAGGGGGCTGCTGATGAGGGGGTTGCAGGGGGAGGCAAGGCTGGGGCAACAACACGTGTGCCCACAGAGAGGGCTCCGAGTGCCGCCTCTGGCACCCGTGCCATAGGTTTGCCACCACTGCTTTAGAGACTCCCTGACATTACAATATTTTAGGTCTACATGCTTGCTTCTGCGCCCGATACGTTCTCCCGTTGCCCTCTTTATACACGCAACATTGTCCTCAAACATTGGCACAGCTTCTTTCACACCAGTACGTACATCTCTGAGCAATTGGAACCTACCAAGTTAATTCAGAACAATGCTTCAGACGATGCTAAATGAACGGTCCTAATTCGAGAACTACTTCATTTACTTATTCATACTTATTCATCTCAGCTCACCTCGCTATCCGCTCTCTCCTTTTCCAGCTTATTCAGCAGATCTCAAGACTGCAACGGCGAAGCCTCCGCCATTCCCGTCAGCTGGATCACCACAAAGCGTACATCGCAGCCCGTTTCCACATCCTGCCCCCTTTCTTCATCCTCGGGGATATGAAACGCTACGACAACTTTGAAAATAAAGCCCTGGAGGCCGGACAGAAATACGTCATTTTCGTTTTGGCCGTTCTGCAGGCCAGTGAACCCGTGAGTCCCCTCCGTGTCTCCCCACTAATTCCTGGGGCCCCTTTAAGAACCTGAACAGGTTAACATTGATCTCCTTTTAGAATTTAGCATAGACTAGAGCTGGAAGGGACCTTGGAGGTCTTCTAGTCCAGCCCCCTGCTCAAGCAGGAGAACTATACCATTTCAGACAGGTGACTATCCAGTCTCTTCTTAAAAATCTCCAATGATGGAGCGCCCACGATTTCTGATGGCAAGCTGTTCCACTGGTTGATTGTCCTCCCTGTCAGGAAGTTTCTCCTTAATTCCAAATTTTAATGGAGATTCTTGTTGTGATGAGCTCCCTTCTATGTTTTTATAGCTTTCGTCTGAATGATATTAATTTACCATGCTGTGAATAAAAAAGCCAAAATATTTTGAAGGGCAGTGGAAAGCGATAAGAGGATATATTTCTTGCAACGAACACCTTACAAAGTATTCAAAGTCAATATCCGTAAAGCCCAAACGTAGAAAAGTAACAAGCACAAAAATAAAAATAAAAATAACATGTATTGAAAATTCTCCAACGCTGCAATAATAGAACAAGAGCATAAAAGTCTAAATTAAATTGGAACGCAGCTGTCCTACGTCCAGAGTTTACACCACACATTCGGGCAAGTCATGTTAAAAATGTAGAGTATTTACTCAGCAGGCTAAATTTATTTAACATTAACCTTGTGCTTTGGGGAATTGTTTTGTTGTTGTTGTTTTTGCTTAGCCCTTTGCACAGACCTAGCTGTTTCGTCCAATTATACGCAAAGTCAGAAATGGGTCAGTTTAATAACCAACAAAGGTGTGCAAAATTCACCAGTTCAGGGGTGAACTGGCCCCAGGAAATGCTATATATGGAGTGTTATGCCCAGGACATCTTGAAAAAGTCCTGAGTCAGAGGACTTCCTTTGGAAAAAAACTCATAAATTGCCCTGGGAGAATTCATTCTGGAGAATTTTGGAACCTTTCATTCCCCAGTCTGTGAATTTTGCACATCTCAAGTGATTAATTTGAATCAGCTATTCTATACCTCAGCCACAATGCCAAATCACACTTTTTGACATGGGTTTTTCACTCACGTTCGCTGATCTGACTCAGAGCTGTCTGTTTAATATCTTTGTTTTCTACCCCTTATCTACCTTTCCCCAATGAGAAGACCAAGGGAAATCCTGCTATAGATCTGCTCCTTTAACCCAGAGGTGGGGAACCACGGCCCTTTTATGACTCGTGGACTTCAACTCCCAGAATTCCTGAGCCAGCCACGCTGAGGGGAAAAGGAGAGGTTTCCAAGCTGAGCCATGCTGGCTCAGGAATTCTGGGAGTTGAAGTCCACAAGTCATGAAGGAGCCATAGTTCCCCACGCTAGCTCAGGAATTCTGGGAGTTGAAGTCCACGAGTTATGAAGGAGCCATAGTTTCCCCACACTGGCTCAGGAATTCTGGAAGTTGAAGTCCACAAGTCATGAAGGAGCCGAAGTTTCCCCAGGCTGACTGAGGAATTCTGGGAGTTGAAGTCCACGAGTCATGAAGGAGCCATAGTTCCCCCACGCTGGCTCAGGAATTCTGGGAGTTGAAGTCCACAAGTCATGAAGGAGCCATAGTTCCCCACGCTAGCTCAGGAATTCTGGGAGTTGAAGTCCACGAGTTATGAAGGAGCCATAGTTTCCCCACACTGGCTCAGGAATTCTGGAAGTTGAAGTCCACAAGTCATGAAGGAGCCGAAGTTTCCCCATGCTGGCTCAGGAATTCTGGGAGTTGAAGTCCACGAGTCATGAAGGAGCCATAGTTCCCCCACGCTGGCTCAGGAATTCTGGGAGTTGAAGTCCACAAGTCATGAAGGGGCCATAGTTTCCCCACGCTGGCTCAGGAATTCTGGGAGTTGAAGTCCACGAGTCATGAAGGAGCCATAGTTTCCCCATGCTGGCTCAGGAATTCTGGGAGTTGAAGTCCACAAGTCATAAAGGGGCCATAGTCCCTCACCTCTGCCTTACCTGCTTGCTGTATTTGATTTCTGTTTCAGCTGTACGCTGCCAGTCCCTTCTCTGACCCCATCCAGATGGACAGCTCTGACCCCCAGCCCAAGATTGAAGGAGAGGAGGGGTTGATCTGGGTGATTGGACCGGTTTTAGCTGTAGTCTTTATTATCTGCATTGTTATTGCAATCCTCCTGTACAAGAAGTAAGTGGGGGTGTCCATTTCTTTGGTTTGTGAGGATCCTCTTCCATGGGTTGGGCTGTTCCTTTTTCTTTTTAAAGCAGATTTTTTTTTTCCTGGAAGGATTTTATCTCCTGGGGCAAAATAATCTAACCCTGAGACCCAGTTTGATTAAGTGATTAAGGTACTGGCCAATCACCAGGAGACAGTGAGTTCTAGTCCCACTTTAGACCTGAAAGCCAGTTGGTGACTTTGGGCCAATCACTAGGAGGTGGTGAGTTCTAGTCCAGCCTTAGGAATGAAAGCCAGCTGGGTGACTTTGGGCCAATCACCAGGAGATGCTGAGTTCTAGTCCCGCCTTAGGCACAAAAGCTGCCTGGGTGACTTTGGGCCAATCGGGCCAATCACCAGGAGATGGTGAGTTCTAGTCCCGCCTTAGGAATGAAAGCCAGCTGGGTGACTTTGGGCCATTCACCAGGAGATGCTGAGTTCGACTCCCGCCTTAGGCATCAAAACTGTCTGGGTGACTTTGGCTAGGTCCCTCTCTCAATCCAGACCACCTTACGGGGTTGTTGACGTGGGGGGGGGGAGTAGGAGGAGGAAGGAATATTTGGTATGTCTGCCACCTTAAGTTATTTATAAAAATAATAAAGGCGGGATATATATAAATAAATGAAACCCTTGACCCTAAACTCAGATTTTTCCAACCTGGTGCTCTCCAAGCATAATAACTATTGGGGGGGGAGGGGGCAGGAGAGAGCTCTAACCCCAAACAACTGGAAGATATCTAGTTGGGGAAAACTGATACAGACCAAAAATATATCTAGAAGGCTGAACTTCCAAACGTGATCATCAGCTTTGATCTGGGAAGATTCCTGAGCTCTTAGGAGGTTTAAAGATAACCGAGAATTTTGCAGCTACTGTCTCATATATGTCTTATATTTTTCCTTTCCTCCCCCCCCCCCCCGCCTTTTTTTTATGCTTTCCTGGACAGCAAGCCAGACAGGTAAGAAGTGTTTTTTTTTAAATGCTTATTGTCTTCTTTGATGCAGTTGAAAGTCAGGAATACTCCTGAAAACGGGAGAAAAATAAAAGTGGAAGAGACAGGGCATTGTAGCTTACTAACCTATCGCCAGCTGTACAAATGCAAGCCAATTTTAGCAATTACAATAGCATTTAAACTTTACAGCCCTCTGTGAACAAATCTTGGAGGTCATCTAGTCCAACCCCCTGCTCAAGCAGGAAACCCTATACCATTTCAGACAAATGGCTGTCCAGTCTCTTCTTAAAAACTTCCAGTGTTGGAGCATTCACCGCTTCTGGAGGCAGGTTGTTCCACTGGTTAATTGTTCTGACAGTCAGGAAGTTTCCCCTTAGTTCTAGGTTGCTTCTCTCCTTGATTAGTTTCCATCCGTTGCTTCTTGTCCTGCCTTCAGGCGCTTTGGAGAATAGCTTGGCTCCCTCTTCTTTGGGGCAGCCCCTGAGATACTGGAACATGGGTATCATGTCCCCCCTCGTCCTTCTCTTCATTAAACTAGACATACCCAATTCCAGCAACCGTTCCTTGTATGCTTTAGCCTCCAGTCCCCTGATCATCTTTGTTGATCAATGTTTGCCTGATTAAACCCTGCAGGTTTCTAGCTGCGCGCGATAGCGGTTGGGACTTGATCCCCTTCTCTTGACTCATCTGCTCCTTTTCCGCCTTCTCCTGTTTTCTCCCTCCAGCAAACGCAAAGAGTCGGAGCCCCGGATCAAGTGCTTACTGAATAACGCCGAGATCGCTCCTCACCACCCGAAAGATCCCGTGGAGATGCGACGCATCAATTTCCAGACGCCAGGTAACCGGCTTCACGCCACCCTCCCTATGTTCCTAGACGGCTGCATGACACGACCCTGTGCCCTTGCGAAGTTCTGTTTGCAAAGACACGCATGTCTGATTTTATTATCAGGTGAGGTGTGGGCGGTATCATTTGGCTTTGCAGTAGTGGCCAAAATTGTGGAAACCTTTTGGGGAAAGTGTATTTTTGAGGTCTGATGGCTAATAACACCACTTTTTTGGGGGGGAGTAGTACCATAAAATTATATATCAATGGAAAGATAATTTAATCAAGAATGTAACGCAACAAAGTTTGTTCAATTATCTGTACTGCATTCTATGAAAGGTTATAGCCAAATAACCAGAAAAAGGAAGCACAACTTGCTTAGGTCGATCTCAGGTAGCTTCCCTTCATCTTATTGTAGCCAATGAGCGTGAGTGTTTAGAGAGCCAATCGGGTGTCATCTTGTTTTGGCAATGAGCCAATCAGATCACGGTAGGATCCAGTGATTGATGTCCTGTATTGAAGCTGAGAGGAGGACATTTGTCAGTGTGTTATGGGATCGCTATCAAGTTGGTTGAGGTTTTTTTGTGTGTTCTTTCATTGAGTGAGCTTGTAAAACATAATAAAATTAAAGCAATGGTGCAAAGAGTTGACCGGTTGCCCAGAAAGCGATGTAAAATAGTATTATTAAGTGAACAAGGCTACATTTGTAAAGAAATTGGAAGAAAAATGGGTGGAAACTTAACCAAAGGTGGCATTTCTACTGTAGACTTTTCCAAAAAGGTTTCCACAATTGTGGCCACTACTGTATGTAAACTAACGGACAAAGTCTCAGCCCGTTTTCATCAAAATGGTCTTGGAATTCTGAAATAGCTGGATAAGACTTTTGGTGGGCCAATGGACCGGCATAATTCATCATGCTGAATAAATTAGACTAGGGAGCGAAATCTGCACATTTTTTGTGACTTTGTTGGTAGAATAAAGAGAATTTAGCTTCGCTTAGCAGAGAAGGAGCTTTAGGTGATTAACTAATAACATTGATTTAGAACAATGCCCGTTTCAATTGATTTAAAATGGGGGCCCTCTTAAAAAGCTTTTAACTCGTTTTTAACACAAGTAGTTTGCTTTTTAAAAAAAAAAACAAACAGCTGAAAAGGATTTTATAAGAAGCTTTCTCATTTGCACATGCGAGGAAAAAAAAGGGGAATGTTGCTTGTAATATTTTTTCACTACAGGTAGTCCTCGATTTACGACCGCAACGGAGCCCAAAATTTCCGTTGCTAAGCAAGGCGGCCGTTAAGTGAGTTTGGATCCGTTTTTCGCGACCGTTTTTTTGCCACCGTTCTTAAGCGAATCGTGCGGTCGTTCAGCGAACCCGGCTTCCCCTAGCGACTTTTGCTTGTCGGAAGCCGGCGGGAAGGCTGCAGGGGGTGATCACGTGACCCCCCCCAGGAACGCTGCAACTGTCCGACATACACGCCAGTAGCCGAGTGCCCGAATTTTGATCGCATGATTATGGGGATTGCTGCAACGGTGTGAAAAAAAACCTGTGTGAAAAACAGTCAAAAGTCCCTTTTTTTTCAGTGCCGCTGTAACTTTGAACGGCCGCTAAACGAAGGATTGTAAGTCGAGGACCACCTGTAGAACGTTTCACCAAACCCTAGGACAGCGGTTCTCAACCTATGGGTCGCGACCCCATTTGGGGTCAATCGACCATTTCACGGGGGTCGTCAAGCAAGGCTGTCCGCCATTTTTTTTGTCCGCCATTTTTCCCCCTTTTCCGGCGGGTGCCTTACCTCCCTTGGGCTGGGCCAGCTGGTGGTCGGCCTGCTCCGTCTCTGCCGCTTGCCAGCTACGCCTCGGCCGGCGCAGGGGGCGGAACCACGCATGCACGGCGCTCCCGGGCAGGGAAAGTCCTCGACTTACGACCGGTTGGGTAGTCCTCGACTTACGACCGGTTTAGT